TTTATCAATAAAACAGTATGACTCAAGCTATCCCTAGTATTTCACTTTGTTACAAGTAAAATAGTAAGGACTGGTTTTAGTCAGACTGATCAATAAATACGTATATTACAAAAATAATCAAATGTTTATGTACTCTTAAGAAAGGAAAAGCATATTACAGAAAAATTTTGAATCTTTTAGGGGGTCATCTTAGGAGTATTTTATATATACGCCAAAGCGCTAACCATTCTCTGATGTTTTTTTTAATCAATTCAATCTCAAACTCGAGTGTAAACGTATAACGATTCCTGAAATATTAACCCGTAAAACAAAAATAAAATGTTTGATCTACACGTACTTTAAAATACAGAAATTTTTAATACGTTTCAGTTGCATAGCATCGTTTTTGAAAGTGAGGCGGGGAGGGGGGGGGGCGGTGCAGCCAGAGAATTTTTTTTTTACTTACCTGAAAAAGTTGACAAGCAAAAAAAATAAGGGGGGGGGGGGGTTGCCCAAAGTCGAAAATCCTACTTCGGGCGGGGGGGGGGGGGGGGGGGGGGGGGGGGGGTATAAACTTTTTTTCAGTGTAAACTACAATATTATATTTTCGGTAAATCACTAAAAATGGAGGGGGGGGGGGGGCAACCAGTCTTTCGGTTAACATTTCTTATAGTAAAAGTAAGGTTGGGAAAAAGTTCGGGGGGCACCCCCCCCCCTTTCACCCCCTGTTGCTACGCCCCTGCGTATTAAATTATTGACAAACAAGTTGCTGAAACAAGAATATCAAAAGTCTTGTTTTAATAAAAGTCATAATTTCAAAAGTTCCTTGGTCGAAACAATGATCTTCTCAGCAAATACAATTTATCATGGAGTTTTATGCTGACTGACGTTTTGCATAGTAATTGTTAGGCCATTTTTTACACATCGACGGATTTTTCCCGGTATATTTCCTGATCAAGACAAGGAGCACACAGTGGGTGTAAACAGTAGACAGAGGATGTTCACTCCTGAAAGAATTTATTGAATAGGCAAAGATATTTATTCAAATGAATAGAAATATGAACTATTGGTTAGAATCTTTTACATTGAGATATAGCTCTTAAATTAACGTTTGCATAAAATCTTTGAATATTTCCTCAAAGATAAATATAATATATAATAATAGAATACTATAATATAATCATTGAATACATATTGTTCTTCCGCCTACCGGGGTTAGAGTAGGTCCTCAGTACCCCCTTGCTTGTCGTAAAAGGCGACTAAATGGGGCGGTCCTTCGGATGAGACCGTACAAATCGAGGCTCCGTGTCACAGCAGGTGTTGCACAATAAAGATCCCTCCCTGCTCAAAGGCCGTAAGTGCCGAGCATAGGTCTAAATTTGCATCCCTTCACCAGCAATGGTGACGTCTCCATATTAGTGAAATATTCTGGAGAGGGACGTAAAACAGTATACAATCAATCAATCAATCCGCCTACCACCAAGTTATTTTCAAAAGTTAACATATTCGAAGGAATTTTTTATATATTTTTAATTTTCATAGATAATCATATAAAGTTTCATTAAACATGACTTATTTGGGAAAACAAAGTGAGTTAACTAAAATTTTGGTAAAAAAAAAATTGTTTTTCACAATAGAAATCAAGGGGAAAAGGAGAATACTTTTAACACCCCCCCCCCCCGGTGAAACAAAAATTCTTTTTTACAGGTAATATGTACTGGATTTTTTTCAAAAAGTCAAACCAAAGCTTTTTGTGTTTCAAGACGGGGGTGGGGGTTGACAAAATGCGAAAAAAATGGTATTATCAAAGATATGTATATAGACACAAAACGACAAAGAAAAAAACATGTTATTGCGATGGGAAAAAAACCCACCACCACCCTTTTTATGGGTCAATTTTTGTATGATTTTGCATTCTGGTCAATTTTTTTATTTTTCTTATTCTGGTTACTTTTCATCTGGGATTGGTGCAATTGTTAGGACGCCTCAAAGAACTAACTCATTTATGTTATATTTTATGCATATTTACATGTAATGTCATATTTTCACTGCATGTTAATTTCTAGTCAGTCTCAGGGGGATCACACTTGTACCTTTCATGCACCTATGTTCATGTTTTATCTTGTTTTGTTTAATATCAGTGTGATTCCTCTTAATGGTTTGTTATACATTTTACTTAATGCCATTCAAGTGAATGACATAATCGACAAAACTGCATATCTGTGTTTGGTTATTTTTTACTGCACTGTCAGGCTGATATTACTCATACGAGGCATAAATGCTTATTTTTTCACCTATTTCGAAGCGATTTACAACTGAAACATTACATATTATTAATACATTTATTTTATAATACATTTATTTTTATAATTTCTTTGCCGTTAAATATCCAAGACTATTTCAAAATATGGTGATCAATCAATGGAGAATATCATCCCCCGCCCCCTTTTTTAAGAGCTAGAAATAGGGATTATTCACTTTAAGTACAGGTATTAAATGTTCTTTGTATTAAAAACGATTTTTTGGCCAAATTGCCATTAATATTGAATAAAATGAGTGCAAATGTAGGCAGGAATCGTGCATATTTCTTCCTTTACTTAGAAATTTGTTTTTTGAGGGAAAAGGCTGAAGCCCATATGTATGACAAACAAAAGCTGAACATTATATGAAATATAGAAAAATAGCATACGTTTAGTTTCTTATGACTATTTAGTTCATCTATTTATTGAAGACATGCTTGAAATTTATCAAAGCATAAAAAAAACTAAAATCGACCTCCTTCATAGTGTATACGTACAGTAAAGTAGCGACAACGAACCGATGACAACGGACTGAATTTTCGTATCTTGCTATGACAACGGACATAAATTATAATTTATCAAAATTTTCAGTTTGAATTTGTTCTATTTTTTCTGTAAAGGCTTACAACATGACTTGATACTGACTGCATCAGTTGGTATACATATAATATTCAATTTACAAAAAATATAACATCTCAGAAGGAAAATGAATGAAATCCACGTTTGATTTCACCAGGGTTTAATATCGTCAACGCAAACTCCTCTTTTATTACTTCATTTTAACGGCTGAAATTCATACAACACCAAAAGGGGTGTCAGTCCTATTCCCCATTGCAATTTCAGACATTGGTTGAAATTATTTAACTTAAAAAATGAAAAACTGCTCACGACCTGTCTTCTCAAGTAATAACACCGGACAGTTTTGGTCATAACCTCACCTGTATGTTCATGACAACGAACCATTTTCAGTGCTTAACTTTAAAGGTTTCTGACAACGGTACTGTCTTGGAACTTAACGTGTTCCTGGCCGTGAATATTATTCTACAAGACTTTAAGAATCACTTGTCAAAGAGAGGTTACTCTGATACAGAAATAGATCCTATTATCACAAACATAATCGGAACAGACCGAAATGAGATTCTAAATAAAAGTAACAACCAATTAAAGCTCAACAATAAATTGGTTATAGTTACAAAATATAATCCCCGAATCAAAGGATTAAAAAAACGCATCTTAAAATATTGGAACGAAATGCAAACAGACACAAGATGCAAAGAATTATTTACATCGGAACCAATTATAGCTTATAGCAAAGACAAAAGCATAGGCGAAATAATTATTAGATCACGTTTACCACAAGATCACACTGAAAAGGTGGGCCCCTGAAGAGGCAGACCTTAGGGCAAGTACCCAAAAACTGCCGAAACACTCTTTACTATATTTCAATATACATTTATGAATGCTTATATTTCCAAAGACAAAAGAATGTCGCAAAGTTTGGTTTAGAGTGTAGGGTCCTAATAAATTTCATGGACAAGTTTGGCTGATTGATGTCTTTATTTTCACACCTTGCACACCATGTGACCGTTATTATGACGTCACGTCACACTCAAAGCGAAAGTAAGAATAACAGCTTGTACGCATATTATTCGTGCAATTGCCTGTTTACATGAATGTTCAATGCTGCTATATTTTATGCAGTATACATCGAAGAAAGCTAGAATTACAAAGATATAAACGTGCTTGAAATACCAACCTTTTGTCTAATTGGTTAAAATACCTAGTCTGATTAAGGGGGGGGGGTTACCGCTTGTGCTTATTAAACACAAAGGATGTATACATACAACAACAACCTCTCACCCCACCCCACCCTTTTTGTTTGACACTGCAGAGTAAACAGGTAAACCAATAAGTTTCCAGAACCCTTTCTACACGGTGCATGTGAAGGTTCCGTAAGTGATGTAATTCTACGTGCACACGCTCCCCATGTAATTCTGTAAATGACGTATGATAAGTATATATTTAGGTCTACCCCTCTACACTATAAAATATCCATATTTTATGGTATAGAGGGGTAGACCTATAGGCTTATATACATGTATACTTATCACACGTCAATCATTTACAGAATTACATGGGGAGCTATGTCTGCGTGTGGAGATATGATATATATCACAAAACCTTAATGTTATGAAGATTTAAAATGAGAATTAAAGAACTTTAAAGCCAAAACAGATTGTAAACTTATAGTAATCTATTGTGTTGCAAAAGAGACCCCCCACTCCATCCCCAGGGTTTATTATGTACCTGTTGAAAATCCCAGCTGGGGATTTTGGGTGGCACATTTTACACAAACTATGCATTTCACTTGTGTCCAATCTGAATCTTTCCGTCTTTTCCATTGATTTCTTTATTATTCTTTATCATATATGATACACATTCTTCGTTTGGACATTTTTTTCTTCTGATTTCATTCAAAGTATTCTAACATATCTAATGCAACTAAATAAGCCAATTTTATTATATAAAAAGACAGTATATGTAGTACATGAAAGCAATACTGCATTGTTTGAATATAGCTACTTATTGTGTAATACTATTGAAATTCAAGCTAACAAAATGACATATCACATACAGGTACATAAACCAGAGGCGAATCCAGCAATTTTGTAAGGGTCTTTAAGGTTTGTGCTTACCCTACCCCTCCCCCCCCCCCTTTCATAGAACACACAACATACATAATTTCTCTATGAAAATGATAGTTAAAAATATGATTTTCAACTTGTTTTCTTACAAATTAAATATGCCCCAAAACACCTTATTTGAGCAAGCTAAAGTTATAAAGCATTATTACAGAAATTAATTTCTCAAAATAAATCTGTAGGCATCTTTCATTTACTAGATCTTGACCTTAAAAGTACATTCAGGATAAGATTACTCTCAGAAAAGTAAGCCTCTCCCCCTTCCGCGTGTTATGGGTGTGTTTTATAACTTGCTCCATTGACTAAAATAATTTCATACTATATGGAGAAAATATTTATCTTTAGCATTCTCCTTATTATAACCTTTTCTTGCATATTCCTGTAAGGAAGTTACTTTAGAAGATAGTCCAAAAATGTCATCGCCAAAGTTTCGCCAGAATCTTCCATTTTTGAAACCTTGCATGTAACTAGTATGGTAATTAAGAGGATCATTAATTTTATTTCAATTAAGAACTTAAACATGTAAATAAAAATCCTATGTGACATCCTTTTAAGTTTCAAGTGACATTGTGTGGGTGGTCGGAGCCCGTAACCAAGTCAATGGTGGTATAACGGATATCTTCATTGTATAAACAAAGCAATACGCAATACTCTTTCTTGAGAGCAGAAAAGGCACAGATTGGGATACTTTATTTTAACATATTAAACACAGAAATACCTATCACAGAAAAACATCTCCCCCCTCTCTCTCTCCCTTGGAAAAAAAGGAGGAGAGAAGTCCAGTCCCTTCCTCTACATCTGTTAAAAATTAAGTTTAAGAACATTTTCAGTCAACAGTCAAGACACAAACAGCCAAAGAGTTAATCACTAAAGTCCTTGTTATATGAAACACAAGCCTTTTTATGTACACCAGACTGGAAAAAGTCCTTTCATGTTTAACGAGATTACACTGTTGTTTTAAATTTGGTCGTAAGTAGGGCACTGATTGTTTCATTGTCCAAATTAGCAGGGGTCTCTGTCTGTATTTTCTTCCCCATAGAGAAGACTCATTCACATCCAGCATTGGAGTTAGGCACAATATTAAGGCATGGCTTTGACTATCACTGGAAACTGCTCTCGAGTCACGAATTTTGGAATTGATCCTTATGTAATGGGTTACAATCCCACAATAGAATGAGGAGACCGGTCCTTTGGAAGAGACCGTACTAACTGAAGGTGCAGTAGATGCTGGCACAAAAAAAGATCCCTCCTTGTTCAATAGCTCCGAATGTCGAGTATCGGACAAAATTTGTAGCCCTCCACTGGCAAGTGGTGACGTCTCCATATGAGTGATACATTTTTTAGAGGGATGTTAAACAACATAAGATCAATCAATCATCACTGGATACATTGGTGTCTTGGTGATGTATTTTTTGGTCCAGAATCTTATCCTATTCAGTAGAATCTTTTCTTGTGTTTTCCACAAAACTTGGGAGGTACAGAGCAGGAGTTGTTTGGTAATCCATGAATTCCTTTTCCCTTTGTTCCCACTGATTCGTGGGCACCAAGGAAGTGAATCTCTGTGCTAGCACAGTAAGGGCAGTTCGTGGTAGATCTCCTCCATTTGCTGGATTTAGAAAGCCAAGTTTGGATACCACCATATCCTTGAAAAGAAATTTGGCAAGCATCTTTGATGTCCCTCAAGTACCCAATCTTAACTTCATCAGCCTGATAAAAGGCAATAATTTAAATATTTTAATATCAGCATCTCAAATAGGCTTTTTTTAAAATTTAATTTTAATGTACATTTATATAAATAATATTTATAAAACATTTAGACATTCAGAATTTTACCTTGAAAAATCATTCAGTGGATGAATAATGAAACTTTGGAAGCGGATTCACTTATACATGTTCATGGTTGTTGTCATGTATATGATGTACATCACTTCATCTGTCTGGTTTCTCAACATCGTCATGGGAACTGAAGTAACTCTGCAAGGCAGGCCAATGGTGAAAAAGACAACACAATTTTCTAAGCTTTGTCATCTTGTACTTGAATGCTTCAGGATCTTCAATGGCTTGATGTTGGTGAATTCCATGAAGTCCTTTTATATCTCTTTTCTGTCCAAACTAAATAAAAGGGGATATTGTTAATAGTACTTTAAACAATATCAAAAAATTTTAAAACAAAAATATAAGTATCTCTATGATATAGCCCTAAGGGCTTGAGTATAGTATTATTATCATCCTTATTTAATATTGAAATAAAATACCTAATTGGGATAAAAGGAGGGGATCCAGGAAATTTTTTGCAGGGGGTGTCCACCCAAGTCAAAAGCAAAACATAGGTAATCAAAGATTACGAAGCTCACCTCGACGAATGTTATCAGTTTATGTAATGGAAATCTCACATCATATTTTCTTAATATTTAGTATTCAGCCCAACAACAATATTCTTGCAAGTTGTGTTTAACCCTTTACATGGCATATACACATTTCTACGCGTGTAGCGTGAAAAACATGTGAAGTGTTGACAAATATTCATAACTTTGTTTATACTGCAGATATCAAGGACTTGATCTGTTCCCAAAACTTTAACCTGGTCTCTTGTATGGAAAATATAGGTCAGATCCAGCATCCGAAGCTAGTCTGGTTGTGTCCATCCCTAGATGCATCATCTATGCAAGTTTGGTCCAAAGGATCACTTCATTATAAATAGGGATCTGACCTATAGGAACGGGCTTGGTTTTCTTCTCTACAAAAAGCTTGTCGATTTCCGTTCCGATTAATGACATTAGGCCGAATACATTTAACAATTTGTTTTTTCTGAAATCTTTATTTCAGTGAGTAGAGGTAGAAGAAACCCTTTCATTGATTTTCTGAGTTTGTTTTCTCCAAATGTAATAATTGATATTTGTCTTTACTTCTCATTGAGCATTATGGTAATGTCTACTGTCTCTGAAATTCTATTTTTTATGTCTAAGCTATTTATCCGTGGATTTAATAAAATATGTCATTAATGTGTGCAAATTATATAGGCCTAAATGAAATCAAAGGGAGTACAGTTACTGATATATGTAACCAAAATTAATGTGATAAAATTCTAAGGAATGTATACAATTGAAATTCGACGCAGCTCAATGCTGTCAAGAATATCTGTATCAAATAACATAGAGTGAGTTACTCTTGTCCTCGGAGAAATTGTGCTTATACCAAGGTGTGTTCTGCCTGACTGACAACTGTACATTTGATTGTTATGATTTGATATCTGTTTAGATTTTCTTGTGTCAAGAATGGGCATACATAAACGATAGATAATTCAAGGAAATACACAAGTCTATAAAAAAAAATAAATTAACTTTAAAAAAGCGAAAGTGTGGTGCCAGGTGGATTCGAACCCGCGATTTTAAAAAGAAGCATTTCACGGAGTAAAACCAACTGGTATATTAACTGAGCTAGTCCGTCTATGAATATATGAAGTCGAAATTTTAAGCAGATTTTCAAAATCAGGTTTCCTTATTTTTTGTAGGTTTTTTGAGAATTTCGACCCTAGGGCAGGGGTGCCCCTAAAAAAATCCTATTTTAAATCATTTTCTATATCATAACCTATCAAAATATCACAATTTTATTTAGGGGCAGGCCTGCCCTGAAGGACTCCAAGGCCAAAATTCATGCAAATATCAACGCTTTAACGGACAAAATGGTGTTTCAGTCAACTTTGAAGGTTTATTGTAAAGTTGTAAATAATAAATTTTAGGTATAAAATAAAAATTTGGAAAATTTAGACATATGTATGGTAGAAAACAACAAATAAAGTTTAATTATTCAATGTCACTTTTTCCGGGAAATTGTTCTCTCCTAGTCCTATAGGTCAATTCTTTTGTTAAAGCGAATACATCCTTAGGCTTATAGGTTCTGTGGAATGGATCTGCTCCAAAAACTTTAACCTGGTCACTCATCTGAAAAATGTATGTCAGATCCAGCATCCGAAGCAAGTTTTGTAGTGTCCTTTCCTAGATGCATCATCCATGCAAGTTTGTAACAGGTAGGGCTTATAGTTCCTTGGCAATAGACCTGCTCCAAAAACTTAAACCTGGTCACTCATCTGGAAAATGTAGGTCAGATCCAGCATCCAAAGCAAGTCTGGTAGTGTACATCCGTAGATGCATCATCCATGCAAGTTTGGTCCAGGTAGGTCTTATAACTCCTTGGGAATGGACCTGCTCCAAAAACTTTAACCTGCTCCAAAAACTTTAACCTGGGCACTCATCTAGAAAATGTAGGTCAGATCCAGCATCCGAAGCAAGTCTGGTAGTGTACATCCCTAGATGTATCATCCATGCAAGTTTGGTTCAGGTATGCTTATAGTTCCTTGGGAATTGACTTGCTCCTAAAACTTTAACCTGGGACGCCGACGCTAACGCTCACACCGGGGGTATAGCATAAGCTCATCTCGACTTCGTCGAGGTGAGCTAAAAAATTACTGTATACCGTTTTTCCATAAGTGAAATACCTATTATGTGGGTAGGGTGAAGAGTTGTTTACTTTTAAAACTTCATACCTATGACTTTTTTTTAATACCATTTTTACATCCCAGTTTTTAAGGAGGGGTACTGAGTGTCTAAGGGGGTCTCTTTTTACTTGTATAGAAATTCTCCCCAAAATGTTGAACCGAAAAATTGCATTTTTTTTTTTAGCATTATGGGATCTTTATCGTTATGTTAAAAGACAAATACATAAAGCCATAACGCTACAGATCTGCAGCTATTCTTCTATTTAATCTTAACGAATACTTTTATTCACAAGAATTAAATTTTCATGGGCACACTGTCTTGTGTAATTCTGTGAAAATAAAGTTCACGCGAATAAAAAGTGTATACAGTATACACTTAGAATGCTTCCTTTGGTTACTTAATACCCATAGACAGAGAAGGGGAACAATAAAATGCATTTAATTTTTTCAGTAATATTCAGCAATTATCAGTAATGCCACTACCACACATGAACCCATGACCTTTGGTCCACACATTTCATAGGCACCCTTGCTAATCAAAAATTTTTGATTAATACCAAGTGGCAGCTTTCAATCAATTAATTCCTATTAGTAATGCAACATGGAAACTTGTATTAGTGTATGAAATTTGATCAGAATATCTTGAATAGTGATGCTGTTGAATACTTACATCAGCATGTATCAGCATATTATGTTTAGCACTAATTTCATTAAAAGGAGGTCAAGGTCAAAGGAAATGCCAAAGTCAAAACTGTTAATGCAGTTGAAAAGCTTGCATCAGTATGTTTCAGCATATGAAATGGTTTCTTTAAAACTAACTTAAAAACAATTTCGATAAAGGTTATTTAAGGTCAACGTCAAAAATGTTAATACAGGTAAGTTGCTTTCATCAGTGTGTATCAGCATATGAAGTTTGACACTGATTAAAGAAAAGACTAGTGAGGTCAAGGTCAAAGGAAAGGACAAGGTCAAAAGATGTTGATGCAGTTGCATACCTCTCACCAATGTCTATCATCATATTTTGATTAAGTTTGATGAAAATATGTTGGATAGTCTCTTTGCAGGGCTCTTGATTCTCTAAATCTGGGGCCGATATTCGGCCCCGTTCCCAATGCAAAAAAGGTACCTTTTTTCCCAAAAGAAAGGTGTAAATTTCCCAATTTCTATAGCAAAATATTAATTAAAAAATGAAAGTCCATGAAACTGAATCGCAAAAAAAACTAACAAACAAAACATGTTTGCAAATGAAAGTGAAACTGTACCACTATTTCATTAGTTCGCGCCAAATGCATTCGTAAACTGGTTCCAGGAACCAGGTTATTGTTTTAAAAAAAATGTATACTAACTATGAGTGCAGAGTATCTTGTCATGTAGTTTCGACGAAAAACATCATTTAGGTTTCAAAAAGAGACATTTCATTTAAACATTAGTAAGCTGCACCTAGAAACAATCCCACGCTTTGGCAAGTTCAGTATCGCGCTGTATTAGTAAGCAAAGTTGTCCATGTGATCGAGGAAATTCGGGATGATGTGACTGGCGACTGCATGTCACCCAGAAGACATAACAGTAATCATCAACACTCTAAGATAGTAATGACAAATCTAATGTACTTTCTTGATAAATATACTATAGCCTACGTATCCATGTTTGTTCTGTTTAACTGTTTATTCTAAACCAGAGTTAAATTGATGAGAAAATGCTAGAAAAGCTAAATTTGAGGATTTTTAAAATGAATTTTGGTTAATATCTAACTTTTCCCAAAATGGCGATAATTTTCCCAATTTGAAAGGCCCGGCCCCAGTCCCAAAAGGTGGTGTGAGAGCCCTGCTTTGAAACTAAGTTTTGAACATAGCTTAATGCAAAGTGTGACGGAAAGACAGAAGGATGGAGGACGGACATGACAAACACTAAATGCCCCGACCATATTCATGACAGGGCATAAATATTGATATTGCTGGTATCTCTTTATAAATGATTCAAATATTACTCTTCATTTATCATGTTCATAATCAACCAAGAAAACTTGATAAACTAGAAGTAGTGAACAATGAGCTCACTTAAAATGATACCCCGCATCCCATATGTACATGATGAATATAATGGCAGTGACCATGTTTAGCTACGGGAAACCCAAAATATCTGACTGTCGGATCATCTGTAGGAGATGCACAATGGCAATATGTATGAAAGATTCTATGAAAGTCTTATCAAATTTCAATCAGTGGTATGAGAGGAGTTGCAGATAAGAGATGGGTACCGGATCCCCAAAGCCTTACAGACCAACAGGCAGCTAGAAAGATGGATGGATGGACAGACATATAGCTAGATGACACCACAAACATTATTTACCCTTCCGCTTTTTAATACTGGGGTATAATAAGTCAGTCAAATTGTACACCATGTAAAAGATACAGTAGATATAATCAGTATTATAAAAGTATGCAACATGTGACTTACCCAATGTGTTAGTGATGATTATGTGCAGATATCATACTGGTCATTTAAATGACAACTTAGAGGGTACATGTACTATTAGTAAGTTACATAGTCTTTTAGTGACAGGGTATGGTATGATACCTGGTTAGTAAGTTGACACTGACAGGTCTGAGAGCTACTCTACCAGTTGAAAAAAAAAAAGTTTATATTTATTGTGCACAAATATTGATTTAATTCACAGTAGCCGTTTTCAAACTGCCATCTCAAAATGTTACTATCGATACACTGCCATTTTGAGAGGCACATTATTTGGTCGAACAGACTAACACGCTGCACTGCAGGCTAGCTTAAAATCTGTATGTGCATTGTACAGATATTAAATATCAGAGAAGTAATTGACAGAAATGAAATATAGCTTTTGTACAATTGAGAAAAGAATTTAGAGAATTTAATCCACAATCAAGCATAAGTTTTTGTGCTCTAGCTCTGTCATTCATACCTATTCTTTCAGACTGTAGTAAAATATAGACATATTTTACTATGTAATAAATGTCGCCTACCTTAAAGTAAGTATACAACTAAGGTGACGACCAATGAAGAAATACGGTACAGATAACAACAAACAAGGGAAAAGGTAACACACACGTGGTGACTGGTTTGAGGACTGGACCGAACTGACGAGGAAAAGCATGCTGGCCAGCACGGGTGGATGAGTATGAGGTCAGGGTGAAAGGTCATAGGGAATACATTAACATACACAATTTCACTACAAGACCAGTGTGCTAGTACAGATGATAATGTGTACCTAATTAAATTAAAATTTAATTTAGAAATTTTCTCCCTCTTTCAGCATGACTTCTGTGGTGCATCATTTTACAGTGTTTTAATCATTGCACATATCCAACAATATCTATGGGGTAAAACAGCTGATCATAAGCTTTTTTCTGTTGTAAGTACAATGTAACAATGAGTTAAACTGTTCAATGTGCTGATTGTTGTACTGAACCTGTAAAAGAACATAATACTATTCTACTCTTAATAGGAAGACAAGAAAGTCTATATCTATGACTTACTTGAGACATGAAATTAAAATTCGATGAAAAAAAAAAACTTACCACAGCAACACAATCCTGCGTGCGAAGTGTTTTCTCCTTTTCAAAATCCGAAGTGAAAACGAAAGTCTCAATGCGCATGCGCGAATGGGGAACAGGGAGCTGCCGAAAGTTGAATCTGTAAAATTTATGGAACGTTTCAGAACAGGATTGTTATGATGTTTAAGCATTAAATAATTCATCCAGCTTGGAAAAAAAGTAAAACAACCACAGAAATATGTTTAAATTATTTTTAAAACAATTACAACAAAGCAAATTGCAGTATGCAGAATTTAAAAAAACGTACTAGGATTAAAAATAATTCAAGTAAATTCACTTATTGAAAAAAAAATGCATTTGAAGGGTCAACTCGATTTTAATTTTTAGAAGAACTATTTTCCATTAGAATACTTTTGATAATCAAGGTAAATACATGGTTGTCGATTGGTTTTGTACATAGAATATCGACATGTTCATGCCACGAGATTGCGTGACCCGCAATTGGAGAAACTACTACAGTTTGATTTAATACTTATTTTAATTTTATTTGAGCAACGATCATAATGATTGATTTCTGAGTTAAAACTAAATGCATTTGCCATACTTTCGAGCTCTTATTATTTATATAGAACGTTTATATCAGCCTTTCTGCAGCGAACAAAAACGAAAGTAGCCCGGGATCACCGAAGCAGAAACATCCAAGTCTTTAATGCGTGCGTTTCAGAATTTCGATTGTCGGATGCTCTCTTAAAGCTGATTTTCAAAATTTTGTAATTAATTACATTCAGAAAGGCCAGTTCTTTATGACCAGCGTATTCATTAAGTTTTTTGCGCTTAAATTTTAACACTAGGCATAAAATACACGCGAGTGACCCGGAATTGGAGACGACCCGGAATTGGCGACTCCACTGTACTTTTACAATCTGAAAGGGGAGACATTGAATTAAGTTAATAATTTTCTGTTAAGGAAGGGGGTAAAATAGAATAATTCAATTAGGCTGTCAGTAACTATAAAATTAAAGCCATATATGGCGTATCTAGAATGAAAATTATTAGACTAAAATTATAAGAACTTATTATTTGTATCATTACCTTTTATGAAGATAGAACTTTTACGTAAATTACAAAATCTAGGTCAATTGCGTTATAAAGATATCACAATTTAATTTGGATTCTCGGAATTTTTTCCGACTCGGAAGAAAATACAAAAGATTTAAATAAAACATTACTGAGAAGATAAAATTGTATTATTAGTTGAAACTAAGTGTTTTCCGTGTTCAGAGCCCCAAGATGACTTGCCCCACTTAAAGCTTGAGTCTAATTACGGCCTTGCAGACAGTAAAAAACCAGTTTCAAAGAAATGAATTTCGCGCCAGAAGAATTGTTGAAGAATATTCCACAACTGCTGTGAAAGAATTCAATCCACAAATGCCTTATTTGGCCTAGCAAATATGTAATTTTTGAAAAGGACATTAGAAAAAATGTTTTGGGTTATTATCAACCTAGAACATTGACACATTTCACATGTGCAACAATTTTGTCAAAACCGGATGTTACAATGTCATACTAAATTCTAAAACGCAGCATGGTTCGATTTTTTCCGGAAAATTGCTCAAATTTTTCACAATAAATCGTGAATTTCACATAGAGCACAGTCGTTACCGCAAAATATTGAAACAGAAAAATAATTATAACTGTTAGACAAATAATTTCCAATGAAAATATTTTGCGGTAACGAGTGTGCTCATGGTGAAAAACAATAAAAATTAAATGTCGACGCGTGTAAAAATGCTATGATCATGAACAACCATATTTGTCTTTGTCTTTTATACAAACTTTAAAGGATCAATTAGAAAAGTTTATAATATTGATTATGTAAGTGGATGAACACTAATATCACACAAGCAAGAAAATGTCAACTGATGCACCTATAGACATGCACGTCTGGCTACTGGAATAAATACGATGGCTTCAGTCTAAAAACATATATATCCGTTAAAAATGCCGATTTATCGACAGTTCTTTTTCCAAAATTAGATTGATTTACAGACAAGTAAAACATTCAACTTACTATATATGTGTAGCGGGTATTCCCGGCAGTATGATGGAAAACACAATATTGTTGTAGTTTACACTTTTAATTATGACATCTCTAAGTTGACAATCGATGATATGGAATTTATAATGGATTTAATGGAAACAATGGATGGAAATATTGGAAGTCCTGCAATATACAAATTGCGTCATAAAAATATGTACAAAATATTATTTCAATTAAATATTACGATTATAAAATATAACAAATTATCTGTCTTCCCTTTTACAATAAATTATCATCATTCACTATGATAACACATAAGAAATATATATACTTTACACATGATATAAGGGAGGTAACTCTTATAATGCAATTGAACTTTACAATCTTCTGAAGAGTTATCTTTCTTTGATATTTCTTTACAAATCATAAAAATATATATACAGATAGACATACCAATTTATGGAACTGAACTTTCTCCAATGCAAGTTTACATACTCGTTATATATGGAGATACCTATGTACAATAAATGTAATAATAAGGACTTGTTCTATACAAATACCTTTCTCAAAATAAATAATTATTTAGATTATCTTGATTATCAAAATCTTCACTTCAAACTATTTTCAGGTTTATATACAAATTAATCTATAGGAAAACTTCATCAGATTTATCAATATCTGAATAAATAGACAGATAACTCAAAATGTAACAATTAAAAGTAAAATATCTTGTTTTCCATATTTTCAACTAAATATTATAGAAAACATATATTGTGGCATAAAACAAGTAAAAACTTACATTTCAGGAATTGTCTTAGGTCTCAAGGTCTTAGGAAATAAATATTCCAACAGCAAAACAATCTAGGTCTTCTCCATTCAAAATCAGAATTCTAGAGTCTAAACTGAATAAAACTCACTACCCCACAAAGACCAAAACACTAACCAATGAAAACTAAGCATTTCAAAAACTGACCAATAGATATGTGTGTGGTCATGTAAAAGTGTATGTACAGGTGTGGATCCAAAGGGGTGTATATCTATAACACTAAATACCCAAGTTAGTAAGGAATAGATAGAATAAAGCTTTAACGGAAAAACTTATCATTTATAACATATTTAATACTTTATTTAGTTTATATTTAATTTATATTTAATATTTATTTTATGCCATTTAAAATCACTCCAACTTTTATTATTTCAAATAAAAGTACCTCTACTACATATGTGACTATCGCAAGTATACATGTCAATTATTATGTTTGTTTATGACTGTGACGATTATAAGAAATAAGAGTAAAATCTAAACTTTGTTAGCCTATCAAGAATCGGTAATTTTTTTAGAGTGACAGTCAGTGATTCATTGGTAGGTCATAAGACATCAAATAAATAGATAACACATGGTGATAGAAAAAAGCAGTCAATTTTAATTGAAGGTAATAATTGTGGCAAAGAATTTAAAAAATTACATTTCTGAAATCAAAGGAAAACAAACTTACTCGGTGTACGTCATTTGTGACGTCATAATAGATGTAGTCATTGGGAATCAGTGGCAGGGATAAATGGGGAAATTTTTTTTTTTTTTTTAAAGATGTACATGTAGTTTTCTGTCGCTTTGTTAAATTCATTTATTTGAAACGGGGTATTATCTATTAATATGTTTTACGGTGTGACCGTTGGGGCGAGCGCAGTTTATTTACTGTCAAAAACCTACAATGTACTGTCTATCATTCAAGAAAAAGAAAGCAAAAAGAATAAAACAAAACAATATTTAAAGAAATCATTTCCCAAGCATCGGGATCGAGATTCCAAACTTCTCGGAAATGTCCGACAAAATCGGAAATACCCGAACCGTAGAAGTGACGAAAGTCTGACGTCAGATTGAGATAAAAAGTTCTGTTGACTTAGAACGCAAACGCTAGTTTTATGGAAGAGAGATTGTATTAAATCGTTCTTTTCATGTAAGTTTTTGCTCTGTTTTAGCCGAGTTTCACGGAAGCAACCGACATAACTTCGTCAAACTTCGTAAGTTTCCGGTGACGTCATTTGTATCATTTCCGAAGGGCAAGGTGAAGGCCAGTGTTGTGGCATAGGGGTATTTTTTTTAAGGCAAAATCATTTCGTTAAGATTTCGGTAAGAAAAACTGTTCCTTTAAATTTTTTACTATTTTTGATTTATTCGCGCAAAGGACATTGGGTAGTGCAGGAATTCTGGGATTGTGGAACAGAGAATATTTCGCTGACGTATGTACAGATTTCAATCCGAATTTCCTCTGTTCATACACGTTAGTCTATTGACGCTCGCTGCGCTCGCTATTAAAAAAATTAACAACTCTGTGAACTGGATTCAACGTAGAACTCGTGTGTGTGTTTACATAAAATGCACATGATGTTCGTTTAACAAATACTCACGTCGATGCATACAATGCATATATATGTATAAGTATCACATGTAGCAGCAATATATATCAATCGTTTTTTTTTAAATTTCAAAACCGAAAAATCATTCATTATACTTCATAAAACCGCGTATATAATTTTTATGCACTTGCATAACGTGAAAAATAATTTAAAGCTTTCTTCAAAAGTATTATGAAGAATTTGTTTTCAGAAACAAGAGCTGAATTTAAAATATATGACCCTAGATAGTGTTTATTATTATTTATAAAAGAACATCACATCAAAGATCCTTCTTTGGCCGTTATAGTGTTTCTCATTTCAAATATTGATTATTATATATATTAATTTTTTTGCATGTAGATCAACATTCAAAATAGCCCCTGCATTGTTATGGCTTAGGATGGGGGAAAGGTAGATTAGGGGGACTATGTCTTCCTCTGCATTTAATATTTGAAAATCGCTGGATCCGCTACCACGAAGATTTGTATAGTTCATCACTATACGATTAGAAGAGGTCACCGGGGGGGGGGGGGGGTCCATGCTTTGACATTAATTATACGTTCATTACATACAATTATATGAACATTATTGTGAAGTACAGGATTTTTCTAAAACATACTTTAAAATTAAATAATTTACTGTGACACTTTCCTTTAAAAAAATATTTTTAAAAAGATACAACTGTGTATATATTCGTCCTTTGTATACCCCCCCCCCCCCTTTTTCTTTTCTAAAATTGCTTACTACGACCATAAATGTCTTTTCTATTTCAAGAAAAACTGAGACCATTTTACACTTTCCTCTTACAAATGTGTCTATAATAAGGTCTTATTAAGCCTTTTTCGCGTAAAATCAATCTTTCCTTGTAAGTATTAGTAAAATGTTGATGTCTGTACTTGTATTTCACTTTTTATTTTGACACGTATTTATAAGAATTACATACGGATGGAAATCATAATGTGAACATGAAATGGAAAGTGATAAACGATAAGCTAGCAATGCACAATTAAAAAAAGATGATAAAATTATTACATGTAAGTCAATCGCTAACAAAGTATTAACAACACACTACAAATACCGTACTCCATACATAAATTATTTTACTGGATTAAAGATGACCCAGCGATTGGCTGGTTCGCAAAGATGAGAAAAAATATCAGTGAGATTGAGGTGTGCGCGAATCTTGCGGATATTTCTCGCTTGCCTGTGAAAATTAATTAACAGCTAATATTCGCGGGTGCTCGCCAAGTTCTTAAAAATGTATAGAAAAAAGGTCCTTTCAACTATTGTGTACATGCATATGTACTTCTTTTCAAGTAATGTACTGGTATTTAGATCTAGATTTTTATCGCAAATCTTGCTCTCCGGCCGAAATAGAGTTGCGTTGTGTGATGATACTACTGGATCTGACAACTGAACAATTAGAATCACGGATTTCGTTTTGTTAAACAAGCGTTTTAATTGGTTGATAAGAACCCGCCCACTCTTGCGCGGAAAAAAGTCAACAAACAAACTGGAAAATTTTTTTTAGCATGTGATATATTCCTTACGCGATACATGGATATCACTTGATGGCATAAACTATTTCATTTCATCATATATACATGTATTTCTGCCGATTTCCTATATATTGACGACATTTAACACTTTAGGTGTTTTTTCTCAATCTCCCATGCAGAGTTGTCGTTCGTTCCTCTCTCAGACACCTAGAGCTGCCAAGATTTTTGACATAACGTATAAATTTGATATTTGAAGAATTGTTTCAATTCAAATCAATAGTTCTGGATTGATTTAGTAAATATCTATCTCAAAATCCAGACATAAGCATAGAAATTGAATTGTAATGAATTAAAACAAACGCAGTATTTCTCGTGTTTAACACTGTGTATACGCGAGCAAACGACAGAGGTGAATGTATGAGCTGATGGTAGAGAGTGTTTTTTTTTCTGTGCGACTTTTCAGTGCATTAAAAATTTTTTCTCCATGTTTTAGTCATAAGTGAGCAGCCCCCCCCCCACTTTTTTCCCCAACATAACCTTTACTATAGTAAATGTTCATTGATGGGATGGTTGCAACCCCCCTTTATAACCATAGTATAGTGACAGCAAGGATTGCAAGGAAAAAACTACGAAATAGGATTTTTGAGATTGGGCAACTTTTAATTTTTTTTTTTTTGCTTGTCAAATTTTTCAGGTAAGTAAAATAAAATTTCTCAGGTTGCCCCCCCCCCCCTTTCAAAAACGATGCAACGTGCCTGTATATTCAGTGGGAAAAAAATAAATTCATAATCAGGTGGTAAAAAGTGTAAAACATCGAATTTATTCAAAAATTGACTGTTTTATTGTCCATACTGTCAAAAATATAGCCATATGTTTTTAACGTATCTTTGCTACTACGACCCATTTCAACGGTCGCCATGGCAATAAACATGCGTCCAGAAAAATCTAGATCTTTGCTCTTTTTTGTGGGAAGTGAAATTTTTACTGTTATTGCGAATGTTATTCATTAAAAATACAAAATTACTTATAATTCATGTGAAAAATAGCTAATGTAACAACATTTATTAAATCGAAGTACGTTTTATTTTTATTGGTGCATTGAAGAAAAAAAAGAGAAGCGCCAACGATTGTGTTCATGTGCCCCGGGATTATGCACCTGATATAACATGACATGACTATAGCCAGCTCTGAAATATCGTATTTGAAGATCATTATACAGATTGCCGACAATCACTATAATTAATAAGGTATTGTAAAGGTCAATTAAATTCTTAGTTCAAAATATGCCACTTTTTTGCCCGTTTTCTACAGATGTTCTATTTTTACTTCGAAACATTCCATATTTTGGCCGTACATTTCAAAAAGTGGGCGGGCCTATAAAAAAAACACCAATCAGATTCTTTGTTGGATTGCGCAATCGTAAGTCGGTAAGATTCAATTGTATTTCAGTCATATTCATCAGTATCATCACCCAACGTTTCACAATACCGAAGTGTGTGCTTTCAACCGAGATTTGCAATAAAAGGCTACACTATCAACTATTTTATGTATCTAAATCTACCGCAGCGGAAGTAAGTTCCAATATTTGTTTAATTCTATTCATTCAGAATTATCATCTTGATTGATTATGAAGTTGATAAGATAAATATAAAATTGGTTCTAATTATTGCATTTTAAAAGTCCTATTTTTCTAAATATCTGTGCATTGTAATAGCAAGGTCATTCTATCGCTAATTGACGTGACGTTACGTTACAAAAAATGACGTTCCTATTGCGTTTTTCTATTTAAACATTGCCATATTGCAAGACCTCGTTTTTAAAAACTATAATAGATATTGAAAAAAGGAAAACAGTTATGAAAAGCATAAAGTCTATACTGTCTATGATAAAAATTGCGTTTATATCTTGCGAGAGGCATTTTTTGATGGTTCGTGGACTTTACTCTTTGTTCGCAAATAAAAACATAGCCTTTTTTCTTTAAAAAAAAAGTATTCAAATGAAAACACAAGATTTTAAAATTAAGTTAAAAAGAAAGACTGGTCCCTCAACCCTTACAAACTTTTTTTCAGTATATTAAATCAAGTTAATGATGTAGTATTGTTTATGTATTAATAGAATTTGGTTCTGAAAGAAAGTTTAATGTTCCTTCTCCTATGAAACAAAATTTCTTTCATTCTCTCTCTTTTGCTTTCAATTTTTTAGGTAATTTTTTCTCTGATTACCCCCCCCCCCCCCCTTTTTTCAAAATCGACATGCATGCCTGTAATCTTTCTCTTGTGACAGATTCCCATCACAACCGTTTAATATGATCCACAGCACATATTTAATTAAAAAAAAAGTCATATCCAGGGACTGATCTTGCATTTTCTAGGCAAGGGTGGGTAACATTACCACCCCACCCCACCCCCCTTACTTGTCAAATACGGTATCATAAAATGGCTGGGGAAAAAGTATGCATGGATCAACAGTATTTTAAGTGGGTTGCTAGGCTATGGCAAACTGAAAACTTTTTAAGGAAAATTTTTCTTCTTTTGCTAAACCGATGAATTAAATTCACTTTCAGAAAAAAAATGGAAATTATTAATATTCCTTAAATTCAAATCTTGGACAGAAATGAATGTCAGCACATGCCAAACAGCTTCAGAAAATCATGGCCAAACTAATGATCAACAAAACATTTCCTTGTTTCACAATATTTATTCCAATATGTACATGCTTCACATTTTGACTTCACATTACAACATGGGAATCCCTGTCTCTCTTCACATAACTGTACATAGTCACTGGTCTCTCTGACTAACAGACACAAACTTCTTCCATTTATTCCAAAACAAACCAATTATTAATTGTTACTGTTAACAGCTGTTTATTTTATACAACTTATGACAGATTTTGTAATTTTAATGTTCACATTCCCCTTCATGAATTCTCTTTCATTCAATGCCCTGTCTGATAAATTCACACCCGTTCACTTTTTGATGTTACAGTAACTCCTTTACATACTAAAGGAGTTTATATTTCCCGCAGTCTGACTAAATTTCCAGCTTTCAATGATCATTGTTACTTGTTCAGAATTGGTACTCATCCTAAACTAGTTCTCATCCAGAATTGTTACTCATCCTAAACTAGTTCTCATTATAAACTGGTACTCATCATTCTTAACTGGTTCTCATCCCTGACTTTTGGACTTTGTAAGATGGACACTTGCACTGTTGAGGTGGTATTTGGTCATGTATAAAAATTTATTCAAACAAAAATGCTGCATGCACTGTTTTTTCCTCAACACATACTGTGATGCATGTACCATACTCAGAGAGTTTTTAAGGCATTCTTAAGGAACTCCTAAGTTGTTTTCAATGATTTCTCAAGTCACTTTAAGATTTCACACTCCTTCAACAGTTGGCACACAAGCTCTTTAAATTACTGAATTTCAAATACATGTACAAATAATTTCCAAATTCTCCAAACATTCGGTAAGAATTGTAAATTCTTTTGCAGGAAATTTGAGTCCATTTCCACAATACTGTCTTTTCCTCCTTTGATGTTTGTATTAAAGGAAAATTCACATTTTTTTATATTTCTTCCTGCAATTTCAATTCCAAGAGGCGTCCATAAGAAATGGTAGTTAAGTGAATGACAGAAATGTTTCAATTTCTTATCAAAATTCTTTGAATATTGCACTGGAAATGACATCACTGCAGTAATTTTTTCTTTACTATCTCGTACACCATTCTCTTCCTGAAGTATGGCATGTGTTCCTGAAATTCATAAAATCCAAGTCATATTTTTGTTTCAAGAAAAAAAAGTATAAATTAATCTCTTTAATAAAATTTGATAAACTTTAAAAAACATTTTTTTCACCTTGAGTATATTTTTATTTTCATTATACATACCTGTGTAAAGTTAATGTCTGCCTCCCTTGTGATGTATTCGGCAAATTTACAGGTGAACATCCCACAGTCACTTCCATTCATCTGCTGGGGAATGTCCTGCAACCAAAGATATTAGTTTTAAAGACAAATTTGATATCATCCCTTCATCTAGAATATCACCTGATATTATAACACAAGATGAAAGAGAATGAGGACAGTCAGTTATTTTGATAATTCAGAATTAAGGTTCATAAACCCTCTGCTCACTCATAAAACTTATGAAAATCAATAAGGTTCCAGCAAAATTTATATAAGTAAAATACTAACAATTATAGCATAGCTTGCGAGGCAAAATTGGACAAATAAGACACACTTCAACTCGGCAAATCTATGAAGGAATAATAGACATTTATGTCACAAAGAGTTATCTCTCTTATCAGAGTATCACTGAACCTTAAGGTACAGACCTTCGTTATTTCCGTTTTCCATTCACTCAGATCAAACTTCTGTTTCTTTTTGTCAAGACTCTCAGCACAAAGATACTCTCTGTTATAAACAAACACAATACAGTTGTGATGGAAAAATAAAAGTTATTTAAGTTTATTATTAATTCCTTATAATTCAATTTTTAATCATTAAGTATAGGAAACAGCGCAATTTCTACCTTGGAAACGTCTTTAAATTGTTTGTATTTTTAAAGTAATGTCAAAAGGATTGATACATTTTTGATGTTATTGTAAACTTACTTGAGGGCGTTTAAACAGCCCATGTTATTTCCGCCCATGGAGTCAAAGTAGCGGATCATCTTCTTTTTGAAGTCAATCACCTGCAGAAAGAATCGAAATCAAACTTTGAAATGAACAGCAATAGATAATAATGGATAGATATGGTTCAAACTTGAGACTCAAAGAAACAAAAATTCTATTGATAAGTAAGCTATTACAAGTACCATAAACTTTTGTGATGCACATAGGACTATATTCTGTTATGACCAATATCTTCCCCACCCCCACCCCCCCCAAAATCAAAGTGTGATGGAAAAATTGGGAAGTTGGGGGTTGTGGGGATTTAAGATTAAACTTATCTTTACCAGGTTTATCAATTCATTCTTAACAAAGGCCACCTATACATGAGTTTCTATAATTCACTAATTCATTCTAGCTGTACTGATCCAAAAATTTTTCTGAAAAAAAAAATTACCACATACTACTACCACATTTCTCACTTCCACAGATTGAAATGTAATCACTATAAATTATTCAAGGAGAGAACAACGTTCACAACCTTGTCAGCTCTGTAAAAATAAAACAAGATGAAATTCACTCACCGCTAGACACCAGTGCATGCCCAGATGTACGGGGATTAGGATGTAGTCCTTAGAGAAGATGTCCACTCTCCTGGTCCACCGCCTGACCGAGTCGTGACCTTGACTCATGACCTTGGGATAGAAGAAGGTGTTGAACGCGTACACCTTGGGTTTACCGTCCGCCTCCCCTCGCTCCACCAACTGATTCATATAGAAGTTTATGATCTGTCAGAATTCAAATAAAGATTAATGATTTGTAAAAATTCAGTTGACTTATTATTTGTAGCACATGGACAAGTTTAATTCCAAACTGTAAGCTGATAAAAACAGGATAAAGTTTTATCTAAAAACACTGCTAAAGTGTTATTCAAATATCGCAATAAGAGGCCTTTGGGTCACATTGTTCTTACTGACAAAGTCCTTGATAACAATACCAAGACTGTTTTAGCCAGCAAAATAATGTAGCTTCATTATTTCATGCTCTGTTTTAAAAAAAGTGGACTTCTGTACATCATTTCTTCCACATCAAGACATAAAACGCATTTGAGGGGTCATAATTGGAACAAATTTAAATCTAACTTTATTCCTCATCGTTTAGCAAATTGAGTTCTTTTATGTCAACTTCTTTGTTTATAACCTACACTAGGACACATATTTTACCTCATAGTTTAGCCAGTTAAGTTCAACTAGTGCAATGTTACATCAACTTATTTGTTTATAATCCTACACTAGGACACATTATTACCTCATCGTTTAGCCAATTAAGTCCGGCCAGTGACTCCATGTCACGTCGGCGTATCTGTAATTTATACCCCTCCACCAGCACTTCGTCAGCTGGCTGGGACCGTAATGCATTGTTAACAACCTGAAGCATCTCGTCAGTAAGTTCTGAAAAATTAAAACAAAATCATTAACAATGTGAAAATGCTACTCTAAAATCAAAATTTTTCATATTCAAGATCTGCAAGCCTTATTCACAACTACAATAGTTGTTTCTGAAAGCAAACTCTGCAACTCAATTTCTTGAAACTTTTAAAATTTGAACATTATTTGTATACCCTATACAGTAAAATGTGTATTTGTAAACTTGTGGCTACCTTTGTAAAATATTCCCAAAAGCTCTGTTTGGCATTGACTGAAAATAAAGCCCGCCTTCTTCACTCAATTTTACAAAATTTAACCTGAGAATATTAAGACTTATTTTTCCTTGTCTAATATTGAACAATTTTCTTTTACAAATGTATCAGGTTACCTGGGAACGGCTCTTCTTTCTCGGGTTCGACAGGTAAATCCTCGACGACGGCGGGTTCCGCGTCGTACAACCTGAGTCTTTGTCTGACCTCATTCTCCAGTAAACGATCCTTCTTTAAATGCTACAGACCAAGAATTAAATAACTGTTAAATCACTTATTTTTAAGACATTGAATTTTCATGGCTTGAGTAAAAGATCTTTATTTGAGGGTCAAGATTTTATTTCGAGGGGATTGAAGAAAACAAGAGGCCCATGGGCCACATCGCTCACCTGAGAAGCTTTGACCATTCTGTTCTTTACCAGATTTCACTTTTGTTATACATAATGCATCCCCACATTACCCCACTGATCATAATTTAGACATTTTGAAATCTACACTACCCCATGATCCTTCCATTGGCACATATGTTTCAGCTTTTTTGGCCCAGTGGTTCCTGAGAAGAAGATTTTCAAAGATTTTTCCTATATATTTCTATGTAAAACTTTGATTCCCTATAATGGCCCCGCCCTTCCCCCGGGGGTCATGATTCCTACAATTTAGAATTTACACTACCCCAGAATGCTTCCACATAAGTTTAAGCTTTTCTGGCCCAGTGGTTCTTGAGAAGAAGATTTTTGAAGATCTTTCCTATATATTGCTTCCACATAAGTTTCAGCTTTTCTGGCCCAGTGGTTCTTGAGAAGAAGATTTTCAAAGATTTTTCCTTTATATTTCTATGTAAAACTTTGATTCCCCATTGTGGCCCCACCCATCCCCCGGGGGTCATTATTTGAACAATTTAGAATCTACATTATACCAGGATGCTTCCACATAAGTTTCAGCTTTTCTGGCCCAGTGGTTCTTGAGAAGAAGATTTTCAAAGATTTTTCCTATATATTTCTATGTAAAACTTTGATTCCCTATAATGGCCCCGCCCTTCCCCCGGGGGTCATGATTCCTACAATTTAGAATTTACACTACCCCAGAATGCTTCCACATAAGTTTAAGCTTTTCTGGCCCAGTGGTTCTTGAGAAGAAGATTTTTGAAGATCTTTCCTATATATTGCTTCCACATAAGTTTCAGCTTTTCTGGCCCAGTGGTTCTTGAGAAGAAGATTTTCAAAGATTTTTCCTTTATATTTCTATGTAAAACTTTGATTCCCCATTGTGGCCCCACCCATCCCCCGGGGGTCATTATTTGAACAATTTAGAATCTACATTATACCAGGATGCTTCCACATAAGTTTCAGCTTTTCTGGCCCAGTGGTTCTTGAGAAGAAGATTTTCAAAGATTTTTCCTATATATTTCTATGTAAAACTTTGATTCCCTATAATGGCCCCGCCCTTCCCCCGGGGGTCATGATTCCTACAATTTAGAATTTACACTACCCCAGAATGCTTCCACATAAGTTTAAGCTTTTCTGGCCCAGTGGTTCTTGAGAAGAAGATTTTTGAAGATCTTTCCTATATATTGCTTCCACATAAGTTTCAGCTTTTCTGGCCCAGTGGTTCTTGAGAAGAAGATTTTCAAAGATTTTTCCTATATATTTCTATATAAAACTTTGATTCCCCATTGTGGCCCCGCCCTTCCCCCAGGGGTCATGATTTGAACAATTTAGAATCTACACTATACCAGGATGCTTCCATATAAGTTTCAGCTTTACTGGCCCAGTGGTTCTTGAGAAGAAGATTTTTTAATGACCCCACCCTATTTCTGTCTTTTCTTGATTATCTCCCCTTGCGAGGAGATATGTCCCTTCATTTTAACAATTTAAATTCCCCTTTACCCAAGGATGCTTTCTACCAAGTTTGGTCAAAATTGGCCCAGTGGTTCTTGAGAAGAAGTGGAAAATGTGAAAAGTTTACAGACGGACAGACAGACGGACAGACGGTTCTCAAGCCCGCACGCATACGTTTTGAGGTAGCCGCATTGCTAATTTTATTGTATTTTTGATAAGATAAAAAGTTGGTGTTGCGGAGACCAATCCGGAAAAAAAAATTCCGACCTCATTTGTTTCGTAGTTTAGTATTCAAATATCACTTCCGGTAGCCATCTGCAATGAGATTTTGGCTACTTTGTTTGAAAATACATTTGAGGACATTACCTACAACGTTTACATGCTAATAAGCAATGGATAAAGCAGAAATTTTGACCAGAAATGGAAAGTATATCTGTGATTAAAAAAATTATCTTTATTTTAAAAAGAAAATTCATAAATTAAAATTAAAAAAATACCTCCCTCATCTAATTTATTGCCAATAAAATGATAAATAAAATGCCGCCCTCCCGCATCTGTTTTGGAGAAAATTGGCCTGAGAACCAGAGAATTAAATTTAGATAGCATTAAGTTAAGTTATCCAGCAGTGACTGCAAAAGCTATTGAAATAGTTGTTCCAACAGGTTTCAATCTTTTGTCTTCAATTTAAAATTTCATTTTACCTTTTCTTCGTAAAATTTCTTTTTGATTTCCGCCTCTTCTATCTTCCTATGAGCTTCTCGGTTTGCACGCGAATACTGCCGCTCCCTGAAAAATAAAGATTTCTCTATACAATAAGGTTTAACTCTGAGATAAATACACAAAGTTAATATACAAATAAAGTATCCTTTCCTCTTACAAGTATTTACAGTACAGGTTATCAAAATTTAAGAAAAATTAAAAGCCCTTAATCAATCTAGTATAACCAGGCAACCACAAACTTACAGAATAAAGAATCAACTTCTCTGATGAGGAATGTATTAGAATTTACCATCAATTTTATGTAACCACAAACTAAGAAATACATGTATATGGTTTTTTCTTATGACAGAAAATTACTTAAGAATACATCAATATTAACTTACAAATCTACGATCCACTCCTCTTATTAGATTAACATTAGTGTTGTTACGATAGTCGCCGACTATCGAAAAATCGTCGTTTAAAGGCCCAGATCGGCGACAATCGATTGTAAATATTATCATCACATAGATCGCTATATTTTTCATGCCGTATTTTTTAAGCCGATGGAGGTTTAACTTTTATATTCACCAAAGGGACGTCACTCTAATCGGCGGTAAACAAAATGGCGAACGTGCATGGTGAAGAGGTTGACGCCTAATTATATCAATATCCTGGTGCAACAAGATCTAAAGTTTGAAGTTTTTTTGGCTTTCTGAAACAGGGCGATGGGCCTCCATGCAAAAATAATTTACAGATGGACTCGGTTATTTGTAAATTGTGTAAAATGTCGTATGCCAATAAAGATAAGTTGAAGTTCGCGGTCAAATGTCATGGAATTCTACTCGTGCTGAATTAATAAATCTAACCTTTTTAATAGTTCAAATTATCGATTATATAATCGATTGTGTTCTTCCGATTCAATTTGATAATCGATAGTAAAATTTGTCCGATTTTACAACACTAATTAACATCAATGTAAACACAGACTTACAGATCTACGATCCACTCCTCTGACAGATATTTACTGGACTGGAAATCTGGACTGCTGGGCCGCCTCCACTGTTGCTGCCTTTGTCTGTTAATAGGACTCCTGTTATTACAATAGTTCCTTTATTACAATAATATTTTATTACAATAAATCACTATATTTACAGTTGTTTTCCTGAGAACCAGATCAAGGCCAAACTGACTGCTTGAACTGATAAAAATATGAAATTTTTTAAAATTTAAAATTTAATTGTTGTAACTTCTACAGATTTGCCATCCCAAACCAATTAAACTCTGTTACAATGGATATCTAACCCTTTCCTTTGAAATAAAGGGAAACCACTGAGTTTAAGTGTAGAAAAGGTTGAGATGATACAGACATCAGATTAAAGACTGTATAAGCTTTCTTATAGAACTAGGAAAGATCTCTGTTTAAGTGAATTCTATTATTGGTTATATTACCTTGAGAGTTCTAAACTTGACCTTGAACTTTGGGGAGCACTGCCATTGACTGTAAACAAAACCAAAAGGAACTCATTAATCAAAATAACACTTGTATATCTTTCTTCATGAACAGAAAACAATTCTTTAATTTAATTTTACAGAATTTTCAAAATGCCCACATTTCAGAAAATCATTTCTTTAAAAAAATTCAAAAAATTAATATCACGGTGAAAAAATATCCATTAAAAAAATTTAATTAAAATAAAACCCTTCAAATGCATTTCTTTAGAAAAATTAATAATAAAAATTAATATTATAGTGAAAAAAAATCCATTGAAATAAAACCCCTATACCGATAGGAGAGATGACGATAGGGGAGGCAACTCTAGGTTCATCATCTGCTATACAAATAACCTCCTCCTCCTCGTCTTCCAGACAAATGACGTCATCGCTACCAGACTGCGATAAATCCCGCTGCTCTGCCGCCAGCGATCGCCGTGGAGATACAGAGACAGGCGGGCGGGGAGATCTCTGGTGCTCGTAATCTGTACTTCGGGGCGGCGTAGGGATACGTGTCTTCTGTGTGGGAACAATTTTCTGTCTGTGTACCTCTGGCTGTCGTGTGATGGAGAATAGTTCTATAGAGGAGTTGCTGCCCGATATACTGCCTTCAGTCCTGGAGCTAGAAATAGACAGCCAATAGAAATAGACCATTTAGACAGTTGATCTCTATGACAATGACAAGGCTTTAAAATTTTAAAAATATGGTTAATAATAACATCAACACTGTTGACTCATTTCATGGTATCTTTATTTCAGTCAATTCTTGGGAAATCTTTTTTTCAACATCATATTCCATTTAGAAAACTAATTAGCTTCTAGCCTTTTTCTAAAAGTGACAATTAATAATTTTTAAGGCAGCATTGCATATAAACCAACTGATCATGAAAATGTTTTTGACAAGTTAGAAATACTTAATCCTTGCTTAAGGTTATGACTTTAATCGAGAAGAGAAGAAGCAATACTCATAATGCATCAGATGTGAGGCAGCGTTCAGTCCAGGGGGGGTAGTATGAGGACTTCTCTAAAAGGAGTCTCGTAAACTTACCCATAATGCATCAGATGTGACGCGGCATTCAGTCCGTCGGGGGAGTATGAGGACTTCTCCAGGGGGAGTTTGGTAAACTGCTGTAACAGCTGCTGGTACTTCTTCTTCTCATCCAGTCTTACGCACTACAGAAAAAATCAAAGGACTGAGAGTACTGAGACAGTCTTACACACTACAGAAAAAAATCAAAGGACTGAGAGTACTGAGGCAGTCTTACACACTACAGAAAAAATCAAAGGACTGAGAGTACTGAGGCAGACTAACACACTACAGAAAGAAATCAAAGGACTGAGGGTACTGAGGCAGTTTTACGCACTACAGAAAGAACATCAAGGAACTGAGAGTACTGAGGCAGTCTTACGCACTACAGAAAAAATCAAAGGACTGAGAGTACTGAGGCAGACTAACACACTACAGAAAAAATAAAAGGACTGAGAGTACTGAGACAGACTTACACACTACAGAAAAAATCAAAGGACTGTCGGTACTGAGACAGACTTACACACTACAGAAAAAATCAAAGGACTGAGAGTACTGAGACAGACTTACACACTACAGAAAAAATCAAAGGACTGTGGGTACCGAGACAGACTAACACACTACAGAAAAAATCAAAGGACTGAGAGTACTGAGGCAGTCTTTCACACTACAGAAAAAAATCAAAGGACTGAGGGTACTGAGACACACTTACACACTAAAGCAAAATAAAAATCAAAGGACTGAGGGTACTGAGACATTTATACACACTACCATACCTGTCAACTCTCCCGAATTTATCGGGAGTCTACCGATTTTTAACCATCCCTACCGACTGTCTACCGATTTTTTTTTTTAAACTGCTGTTTCTACCGATTTTGAAAAATTCCGCATTTTTTACCTACTTGCTTCGTAAAATACCGACTAGTCAACGAGGCCATGCAGTGTTTATATCGGTAGCTAATCTGTTTATTGCCACTGATAACAGGTAATCAACAAGGTGTCAACTGTGCTAGCAGATGTAATTGCAGTTGTAATTGCTCCTTATTCTCATTAAAAGTGTATATTATCAAAGACAGAGATGCCAGATGTGGAAATTTTTACAGAACATGACAGTAAAGAACGATATGGAAGTACTTGATACTTTGCTGCAAATAAGTTTACAAGTGCCTGAGACAAAACTGTTACTCCATAAACAATACAGTGATCAGGAAAGGTGTGGTTACAGTACTCTATTATTAATTTAACAAGGAGAGGGAAACAATTTCATGGAAGCTAACATAAATGTTCAGAGTCAGCTGAAGATTTCCCAACAGATTTTGAGATTCAATGACTTAGTAAATCCTGCATCAACATATAACAGCCCCTGAAACTACAGAGCAACAAGACAGTGTCTTTAGAAGACTTCTTTAAATTTACAAAGCTAAACAGGGTAATGCATTTCTAAATTGAAATATAAAATAAGCACATTAAAACATTACTAAAATAAAGTATTATATTTAAAAATTTTTATATATGTTATGAGATTAAACGAAAAAAAAATACAGGGTATTTCATTCATACTATATTACACATTATTTTAAGAATGTAAGCATGAAGTTTTGACAATTATTTCAATTTCAGATCTTTAAATCAAGGATACAACTCATGTCCCTTAGACTTAGTGAGAAAAATCCATTCATCCATCTATTAAAAGCTTGAAACTAAAGACTGTCTGCCGAACTTTATTAATTTTTCTAATTGCCAAGTTAAACTACAACATTTGCCATGAATATTATTTAAATGATGCTCTTATGGACTGGCAGAATAGATAGTGAACATTATACAATTATTGCTGGTTTTTGAGGTCAATACAATGATTTAGCCATTTGAGGAGTACAATATTCACCGAGCCCGAAGGGCGAGGTGAATATTGTACTTCGAAGATGGCTAAATCATTGTATTGACCGATAAAACAGCAATAATTGTTTTATTATTTGATTCACTGATAAAATGATACAGCTTATTTTATTAAATCCAAGCTAAATACAAGAGAGATGCAGAATTAAAATGTGAATAAACCTTACCAGTCATATCAATTTGAAATGTTTTTTTAAACAATTTTAGTTGCCATGAAAAAAATATATAATGTCAGTCATTTTAATAGGATAGATTTTGAAAGGTAAGAGTATTATCAGGGAAAACTGACTGCCAAAAAGTAAAAAAGTAAAAAAAAAATTATTGTTCAGTAAAAGTGTTGGAGGGGGTCCCTGCATCACCTCTTACCACCCTCACCTAAAATATATATTCGCTTATGTTTTGTTCACATGAAAATAAAAAAACATAGTTGTTTAAATAGCTTTTTAAAACAATTTGTATCAATTTGGAATTTCCCGAACTATTTTTAGATCAATGTAGAGGTAATATAAATCCTTGTATTGACCTGGAACGTCACGTGCAGGTCAATACAACGTAATATTTTTCTAAGATAGTTGGATCTCAGCCAATCAGAGAGATGGAAATTATTCAATCATATAATAAAAAATTTTATAATTTCAAAATTAATTTACATTGTACAAGTTTCTAAACAATGTATGAATAAACAGTAAATTTTATGAATTAATGATGGTGTTAATATTAATAAAGTTTTATCTTTTTGTTTATTTTTGTTCAATAAAACAGTGAAACGCGCGATGACTTTTTGTATTTGCAAAAATTTTGGCCATGTTGACAGGTATGCACTACTGAAAAAACATCAAAGGGCTGAGAGTACATGCAGAGCAGTAAACTTACAATCCTGTTTTACTGTATTTACATGCAGACCTGTAAACATTTAAGCCTGTTTTAGAGCAGTAAGCTAATTACCTCTAAAGCTGTAAATTTCTGTCGAGGTGGACGGGTGAACAGTGATCTGTCTTCATGGCGTTTTGGTTGTACAGTGTCTAAATCTCTTATCCTGTGCCAAATATCTAAATATAGAACAGAAAGTCAATAATATTTCAATCATACAATAAAGCCATATGCCTGACTGAATAAGCAATTTTTTGCTTCAATTTCATTAGTACACTTTGGATTATCTTATTATTCATTTTTTTTAATGAATTTTCAAATTCAAAGTTACGGTAGGTGGGGAGGGGAAGGTGGGTGATTTGTACTATGTGGAGGATCTATGAGGAGTGGATTGACTTACCTGAGTGGTCTGTGTGATGGATCTATGAGGAGTGGATTGATTACTTTAGTTGTCTGTGTGGAAGATCTATGAGGAGTGGATTGACTTACCTAAGAGGTCTGTCTGGATTGAGGTAATGGTCAATGTGGAGGATCTATGAGGAGTGGATTGTCTAACCTGAGTGGTCTGTCTGGACTGAGATAGAGGTCTGTGTGGAGGATCTATGAGGAGTGGATTGACTTACCTGAGTGATCTGTCTGGACTGAGGTAGTGGTCTGTGTGGAGGATCTATGAGGTGTGGATTGTCTAACCTGAGTGGTGTGTGTGGAGGATCTATGAGGAGTGGATTGACTTACCTGAGTGGTCTGTCTGGACTGAGGAAGTGGTCTGTGTGGAGGATCTATGAGGAGTGGATTGACTCACCTGAGTGGTGTGTTGAGGATCTATGAGGAGTGGATTGACTTACCTGAGTGGTCTGTGTGGAGGATCTATGAGGTGTGGATTGACTTACCTGAGTGGTCTGTGTGGAGGATCTATAAGGAGTGGATTGACTTACCTGAGTGGTCTGTCTGAACTGAGGTAGTGGTCTGTGTGGAGGATCTATGAGAAGTGGATTGACTCACCTGAGTGGTGTGTTGAGGATCTATGAGGAGTGGATTGACTTACCTGAGTGGTCTGTGTGGAGGATCTATGAGGAGTGGATTGATTTACCTGAGTGGTGTGTGTGGAGGATCTATAAGGAGTGGATTGACTTACCTGAGTGTTCTGTGTGGAGGATCTATGAGGAATGGATTGACTTACCTGAGTGGTATGTGTGGTGGATCTATGAGGAGTGGATTGACTTACCTGAGTGGTCTGTCTGGACTGAGGTAGTGGTCTGTGTTGACTGAGATGATGAGGGGGCGGTGACAGAAGTCTTCTGGATGGTGGGGGCAGGGTGAAATGTTGATTTTCTACCTGATCTGTTGTCAGACTGAATAAGAGATAAAAAAAAATTTTACAAGAATTATTTCTTTGATTAAATATGATTTTATTCACTATAAGATATTTTTCGTAAAGTGTAACTGTGAAAATCTAATGGTTAAATTTGACCTTGACCTGTGTTTGAGTTCCTTCTGATGCCCTGACAAGGGTTTTACGAAGTGGCTGATCATTCCCATTGGTTGCCTGGAAACCTGACTTCTTCACTCCATCCCCTGGTGCCTTGAACCTGTCCACTGGTTGACCTTGACCCAGTTGACCCCCAAGTGCCCCCGTTCTTGACTCCCCATTGGGCTTCTCCCCATTGGGAGCCTTCTTAAAGAAATAATGCTCTGACCAAGCCTTCTTCCTTGAAAACCAGTCTGCCATCTTCTGATAGGGATTGACAATTAATGTGTTCAGATCTGAAAATAGACATGCACCATCTATAATGAATGTGTTATTTAATGTCTGAAAATAGACAGTATCTACTCTTAATGCATGTAATGTGTTCATATCTCAATAGAGATATATGGATGAAAGAAATCCATCAAATTCTTGGTAACATATTATTTGACTTTCCAAAATTTCCCTGCAACAAAGTTACAAGAAGGCAAGATAAAGAGGAATAAAAAAAAATATATGAAATTATCCAGATTACATGAAGAGTACGTACAATTGAGAGTTGATGTCTGGGGTCCAAATTTCCGCGCTCTCTTCACCGAGGTCACAATGACATCATCATCTTCATCTGGCTCCACCCTGCCGAATATAAAAAGTTAAAATAAAACCTCAATTCACCAAAGTTTGTAATTTTTATCATAGTCTGGCTCCACCCTGCCGGAAGTAAAAAGTTTATATCAAATGTCAATTCACCAATGTTCCTACTTTTTTATCATGGTCCAACTCTACCCTGCAGAAAATAAAATTAAAAATAATACTCAATTTACCAATGCCAGAGATTTTCCACTCACTTTTGGGAATGGGGCCCAGGCCCTTGGAATTGGGAATTTGACGACATTTTATCACTTATTGGATGATGTTTTTCAAGAAATAAATATTTAAGATGAATAAAAATTGATCTTTTACTTAGTTATTCAGAACTATGAATCAGAGAATTGATCATTATAATGAAGTTTTTCCCAAGATTCTTCAAAATTTTGTTCATTTCATTCAAATTTCCAAACCTAAACATGTTTTTATTTTGTGAATTAAGTTCAGGTTACCTTCTTGAGTTCTTCATCTTTCAAAAATTGAACATAGGCAGTTCATTTTTGGGAAAAAGAGAGGGGTTTTGCAATTGGGAATGGGGCCCATATTCGGCCCTACACGGGGTAGTGGAAAATCCCTGCAATGCACATATTTTGGGGTTTCACATGAGAAAATTAACAGAACAATTTAGACAAAGTTGACTTAGTTCTCAAAATATTTTGACTCTTCTAGTGAAAAATTCTCAAAATATTCAATACCCATGATTCTTCTATTGAAAAAAATTTCCAAGTATTTTAACCCCTTTCCATATAATTTTCTAATCTTCAATGCTCTAAAATGCTTAACATTGAATTATAATGTCACTATCATACTCTAGATACAATTTCTCATTTAATGTGAAAAGAAATTGAGGTCCATTAATAATTTTTTTAGAGCAGTAATCGTCACAACATTAGTCTGATGAGATTCCTGAGTCAAAATGTTGCCATTGGATCCCTAACAAATTCCATTTAATATCGTAAATGGGGACGGACTGCATTGATGTCTTTCTGAAAATGTCACCTTTGATCGATCATGTTGATTGTTGTTCTAGTCTCTCAGACCAACCAAACTGATAACAAATAATGTTTAACATGTGCCTTTTATGCTGAAAAATAACTAAATGTGCAACAAATATGCTTAAGTGTTACTTTCTGTATCTGCTGAAAAAATATTTCATTTGATTAAGAAAAAAAGTTTGATAAAATAACAAAATCGGACATCTTTGATCACTTTTAAAAAGCTATTATAAAGTAAATGTTGGCTATAGGGTAGGGTGGTGTAATTTCGACCAATTATTTTTTTGTACTTAGGATTTGTTAAAGTATGTCACTGTTACGTTATGCTACAACTTAAACTGGATCCTTTTACCTTCGAATATAAATTTTATCTTTCAGATTACAACGATTTTGTATATTTTTTTGGTCATAATATGAAATAAATGCCTTTGATTTACAAGATATGTGTGTTGGGTAATTTCGATGGATATCCATTGATTGTCTTTACATGAAAGATTTTTCTGAGGTGGTGGCAAAAAATATACTTGTCTGTAATTTTTCGGTAATAAAGCCTATTCTTTGATGTAATTTTCTAATAATGATCTTAATAACGCTCATAGAAATAAAATTATTTTGAACACAATATATTAAAAATATGTTTTCTTTCTGCATAACATATAAATGTACACACACAATTATACGCCATAAACAAAATATATTAAGGTATTTATGAACGGTCAAAATTATTATTAACCAGGCAGTCGAAATTACACCACCCTACCCTTTAGCTAATATCAAGAAATTGAACTGGACCTAAAAGAGGATCTTTTTGTTTCACTAGGTAGACCACAGGCCTCCGAATATCAATAAGTCCTTATATGCTTGATTACTCATTAGAGAGATATATACTGGTTTCTTATTATAATGCAGTACTTAACACTTTTCCATAAAAAAAAAAATAATTCCAATTTTTTACTTTAACCTTCATCAAATAATTTTCATAAACCAAACTATAGTCTAACTTTTTTAAAGTGTAAAATTATTTCCCAAGCTTGCAACATTTTACTTGTAGTCTATTTTTAAAACAGGATGTCTTATTAACCTCCTAAATTGGAGAGTCTCATAGTATCGCAGTATGGGAAAGCATGCTAACTTGAGGCTGACACAGACTTCAATTCTTATTTTTAATTTAATGATGTAATTCTACATAAAAAATAAACAATTATACAAACTAAAGACTTTCAAAACATAAACTTTAATACAGATTTTACTAGATTATAAATTCAGTGGTCTAAATAAAATAAATGTGAATGGAAATCTGTAAAATTACGCTTTATTTGAATAAAAACTTTTCCAACGCATGTTCCATTCTTTTTAATCATGTTATTTAATCATCACAAGAGTTGTCATTAAGTTGACAGTCTTATTGAATATTCACAAAAATGATATGAGCTATGTATATGATTTTTATTAATATACTGCGATACAATGGAATCCGCGATATAATGAGAATCGAGTATATTCTACCCCCTCTGGACTTTTTGAAATTCAGAGGTCTGTGGGTAGTCAGCATACAGTTGTAACAATCGTTATACAGTAGGCGTTTCTTTTCATTTTTTAAGAATTTTTAATCCCATTACAGTGTTGTGTTGTTCTACTTTAATAAATTTAACCCCCGAAATAGGCTTAAAGCTGAAGTGTACAAAATCAACGAGCAATCTGAGGAAACTCGAGATGGTAATACAAACCCCTCGCTAATACTCCTTTTTCGTTTTCGATTTGATGTCACATTACTGTCGCCAGAACTATCACTGAACACTAGTGTTTTTATCTTATTGGTAAAGGACTTAATCATTTCCAATCGCAACTTTTTAAATTATTTTCCCCGGGAAAAACCATGAATGTTTTCAGCCCTAGGTTATCTTCTCTTGGCTGCGTTCTCTCTTTGTCAAGTCATTCAATGAATCGGTGCATAAGAATTGAAGAGGAATGTGATAAAAGTAGTATGCCTTTACCCGGATTCCGAAAGTCGGAGATTATTAATCGAACTTCTCATAAACATGATAAACATAACTTGATATATTTTCCAGTAGAGATATTTATATTCATGTAAAATATTTAAAAGTAACTATATTCTCCATACTAAATTCCGTGGTCAACAAATATTAAACACAGTCAGGTGCTTGTTTCTGTAATATATGCTCTAAATGCTGTATATACCACAGGCACTAGTCTTGTTTCTGTAATAAATTTTTGACCCATATACTATGGGTCAAAAATTTATCAAAGAAACAAGTGCCTGTGGTATATACACATGATAAAGTGATATTCTTGTTCCATGGGAAGGGGGGGGGATAAATATTTAAGCATTGAATTAATATTTTTGGCTGTCTTCGGTCCTATAACACACCTGGCCGTGCCGACAAATTGAATACCGCGCGGTAGCGCGGTATGATAAATTTGTCGGCACGGCCAGGTGTGTTATAGGACCGAAGACAGCCAAAAATATTTATTCAATGCTTATATTTACATTCTCTAATTTTCCTTCTTCATAATTACTTATTTTGTTATCATTTAATGTGAATTTAGACCCTTTCAAAACTATCGTGGTTAATAGACGTAAGAGCCATTTGTGACGTCAGATGACGTTAAGTGACGTTGCAAAGTTAAATTACTCAAACAAACATTGCGAGGAAAAAAGTGACAAATTAATTCTTAACGCACATTACGTTAATTTTTACGTTAATTTTTCAAGGTTAAAGTTTTTCGTTAAATTGAAATAAAACATTTTATATTTTGGTGTTTCTAGAGTATTGAAAATGCTTGTAGTTCCTTTTGTGTATTCTAATGCGCGGTGACAAGGTTTCGCGTGTGTTATAGAAATTTGAACGTCGTGGATTTCTAATGGATTTCATAAGGAAAATTATACTGAATGTAAATATTTAAATTTAAAGATTTTAGAAACAGAAATGTCTGTAAAAAAAAAAAAAAAAAAAAAAAAAAAAGAGGTAAAAAAGGATTCAAAACTGAATATTTACATTTGTTGATGTCTTTCCTTATATATAACAATGATAATAAAATTGAAATTCAATTTTCAGTTGGTCACATGATTAGATTTAATTTTACACAATGGAATGTAGAATGTGAAGATTACGAACAGTGATGTATCTCAAAAGGTCTATAAATAATATGAATATGTACAGAGGGCATAAACATGTACCTCTGGAAATCAGGCACGTAGCAACCGGCCCCCACTTTTTTTTTTCCAAACATTACCTTTACTATAGGAAAAATTTTAGATTTTCTAAAATTTTTTATTTTCTTTTTGCTTGTCAACTTTTTTTGAGTAAGTAAAAAAAATTTTCTCAGGTTGCCCCCCCCCCCCACTTTCAAAAACGATGCTACGTGCCTGGGAAATTCCAGAGGTGAGATCAGATGCTCGGGAGGAGTAAAGTAGGTTATATGCGCTAACAAGGTCATAATAACAACCACCGAATTACAAAATGCTGACTTTAATCGAGGTTGTTGAAATCCCTGTGACATAAAATTATCTGTGAGTAGCATGTATCTCTATAAAATTGGTCTTACTCAGAGCAAGTCATTGGGTATCGAATAGAGCAAGCTCTTGGGTATCTAGGAGACATATGAACACAGTAAACAGTTGATGGTGCCACATGTCAGAAAGGCTGACGATGGAAAAGGTAAGTCATCTCGTTCGTGATCTAGTATATACAAATTAATTGCTGTAATTCGCCATTGTCGTCTTTATTCGATAAAACATTCAGATATGAAAAAAAACATGTTGCAGACTATTGCGTCTTTTTTTTTTTTTTTTTTATTTATTAGTGATATGTCGAGTCAAATTTCAATTGTTAGGCCCTTTGTCATACTTAATTTCACAATGGATTAGTCCGTCTACCTCCTCCTAAGCACTTAATCCAACCTCTGAAATTCCAAAAGGGTCGCGTTTTATGCCTTGTTCACAGATTTGTAATGCTTGTTGTTTAATTTTTTTTAAATATCTCATATATTGTTCTATTTTCAAAACGTGGTATCATGGAAGTTAACAACATTCATCCAGTATAGTTAACTTTCTTGCTATTTGAAGGGTTTTCTTTTTTTTTTTTTCAGAAATACATATAGGAAAAATTTAACGAATTGTAAAGAAACAATTATCAGACTGTAAATTAATTGTTCATCGATAATTAATACATTATGATATTGTAATAATAAATGATAATATATCACTCTGTTATATGTTTTACAGAGAAATCTCTCCGACTGAGGAAATCAACATGAGAGAAGAAGAGAAACCACAAAAAAAAGCAAAGTACTGAAAGTACTCATGGGAGTTGAACAAGGTGTAAAATAAAAAAAAAATTGATAGGGAGTTAAGAGAGTGAACAATATTATTATTATTATTTCAAATACACACAACTGTTTCAGATCTTTTGTGTTGCAACAATCTTGAGAAAGACATTCAGAGACATTGAAT